TAAATTTTAATCTGAAAGTTTGCATTGTCCCTTTGTAACCAATTAATAACCATCAAAAGGGAGCCCGTCTTTATTACTGACTTAACCTACACAGTAGCTACATCTTACTGTATATGTTCTGCATAGCACTTGAGAGAAGAAACTTATATTAGACAGTTAATGAAGAAAATATTTTGCTACAAGTGGAATACTTATATTAAAATTATATTTAGATTTTGTACAAGATAACAAATAATATGAAATAATACTTTTATTGGACCACTACTTTTAAGGTATCTGCATTTTATTCTTTAGAGATTACCATAACTAATTTTAGACATTGCACCGAAATTATTTAAATTCATCCTGCTCCTGGTGGTTGCCCGTTTATGAGTTTTAGAAGCCTATAAGAGTATTCAATTTGTTTGCATTTTTTTTCCCCCCAGATTTCCTGAGGCTTAAACTACTCTTTTGAAGCAGTCTCTGCCAAACAGAATAAAGAAAATAAACAAGCCTAAAAATTGGGAATACCATGTATGCATTTTTGTTTTTAAATTTGTTATTTAACTTTAATTCCAAACTTCGTTTTATTAGATTTGTGTAGTATTTTATTATATTTGATGTTTCAGTGTGTAGGCCGTCTTAAAGTTAGGTTCAGAAAAGTTGTTTTTTTTTAAAAAAATTTTTTATGTTGTAGAACTGTTTTTTTTTAAAACCCAAAAAGAATATTTGATGAAAAACTTTGAAGCAGTTAATGAGATTTAGATTTTTTAATATTTAAAAACTGGGGGAAAAAGAGACATACCACCCTTTTTCCCTCCTTAGTTTTCCCCAGTTTTTAAATATTCAAAAATCTGTATCTCTCTCATTAACTGTTTCCAAGTTTTTTGTCAAATATACTTTGAGGCTTAGAAAGATTAGTTCTACAACATATCAACAAATTTATGTCCTCCAGAGCTTGGCTTTATTAAATAGAAATGCTACTTCCACATCAATAATTATATCTACCCTTGTTATATTTTCTTTAAATATAACATTTGTTTAAATATTTTTGTCTTGCCATATTATTGTATATACAGTACAGTACATAAAATCAATATTTTCTTATTTATGTGAGTAGCAATTATTTCAGTACTGTATTTTATTTTGTAGCTCTAGTAGGTTTAGTACCTGAGTATATTTTTTCTTTAAAGTTTAAACTTAGGGGTCAATCACAATTGAAAACATAGTGTATTAAAAGAGTACTCTTTTTTGCCACCTCAACCTCTTTAAAGTGTACATACATGGAAAATGTTGATTTTGCAATACCGTTCTCTATGGCCTTTTTTTTTCAATGGGTACATAGATACATAATTAGGTTTAAATATATCCATATTGGCATGTTATTAAATTTAGAAAACTGATTTCAATCAATATTTTAAGCTTTTGTAAATTCTTTTCATTTAATTTTGTATTTAGTACCAGGCCTTTTCCCCCTTAGCGTACTGTTTATACATTTGTTGATAATTATAAACCGTCCATACAGTGCAGGGTTATCCACCTTATGTTTTGAAATTTCTTTTTTAAGTCTTTCACATCTATTAAATGTGTGTAAAGTTAAATCTAATACTGTACTGTAATAGTATATAAAAATATGTAAAACTTTTTCTTTCATCTACCCTTATCAATACCGCTTACAGTACTTTGATGTTATTTAATATATTTATAATTTATATAGGCCTGCAATTTACTGTAAATACAGCTATTATATAAAATTATTTTTATAAATATTTATATGTTTGCACAGTACCACTAATGCTACATCGTGTGACTTAATAATGCTAGTAAAATTCAATGCAGTTTATTCTTTTAAGATATTGAATCCAGTTTTTTTTTCCCTACTATTTAAATGATACAATGCGAGCATTTTAGTTTGGTTGTTTGAACTGTGATATATATGTTTAATGTGTGTTAAATAAAGATCTTGAGAATGAATACATTTTGTTGGGATTTCTGTACAGTGGGTTCAAACATTTCATGTTTCCTGCAGTGCCATGAACTACCAAAACACATTTGTACATTACAATCATCTTGTAGGCCTATGATTTTTTATTTATACACTTTTTCTTTATTCGTGAAAAAAAATTTTTATTTTACAGTTTTCTATAAAAAAAAATTATATCAGCGTTATTTTCTAGAGAAGTGCTGTGAATTTCTATGAAAATTAATTTTATCAGTGTTATTTTCTATAGAAATGCTGTTTTTTTTTCCTATAGAAAATATAATATATCAGCATTATTTCTGAAGAAATTCTGTACATTTCTAAAGAGAATAATACAGTTTTCCATAGAAAATATATTATATCGGTGTTATTTTTTTTTATAGAAATGCTGTTATTTTCCATAGAGATTTATATAGTTTTCTATAGAAAAAATTATATCTGCAATAATTTCTATAGAAATGCTGTTCTTTTCTATAGAAGTATTGTGAATTTCCATAGAAAATAATAGTTTTCTATAGAAAAGAAATTATAACAGCATTAC